GCGGTGGCGGCCAGTCGAGCCCAGGAAACGCCTTCCGGATGCCCCTACCTCAGCGTCTCAGTGGTGGCAATGGTCAGGGCCAGTCCCCTAATCAGATGATGTCCGCCCAGTTGAGCGCAGGTGGTGCCTTTGGTGGCTTGTCCCAGCAACCGTCCTTTGGCAGTGCTGGTGGAAATGGTGGTGGTAACAATCCTTGGCCTATGCTTTCAAGTGCAGCAACTCAGGGCCTGCGAATGGCTGGATTTCCACACCAGCAACAGCAATGCAGGTAAGATGCTGTGCGAACCATCTTGTCTGTTATACCTCTCTCCCCGCCATTTCAGCATCTGTCTAACAACTTTAATTATCGTTTGTTTTTGTAGAGTGTGTGGAACACAGAACCCCCTGAACATTATGTTCTGCAGGAATTGCCGTGCGCCGAACCGTTGAAGAGAACGTCGGCGCATTTTACAGTGTAGTCGTCGGACGTGTCATCTCACATTTTTAAATCTTCCCCTTTTGCCATTGCGTTAACATAATCAACCTGTGTATATCCAGTAAATTGTGCTAGAACATGTACGACTGTGCCTTCTACTTTCTGCGACACGAGCGAGAGCCTTGCAATGTAGGCCTTATACGCATTACTGGAGTGTAGTGAGTGCCATGCCACCGGACGTGCGTTGCGGTTTTCGGTTACTACATAGTCCTTGTTGAGCGATTGGGTCGTAATTTAAATTACGACCCAATCGCTCAACAAGGACTATGTAGTAACCGAAAACCGCAACGCACGTCCAGTCCTTAATTTCGGTGCGCCTTCGTGTTCCCACTGCCGCTACGATGTCCACCGAAAATACTGCCTAGATGTTCTGTGGGTGTTGAAATTAACTGTTTGGCTTTTGCGTTTCAAACGCCGGGTGTGTGGTGCCAGCGGAGACCAATCTCTGATCGAATGTCTGACCTTGGCATGGATCTACCTTCCAAATGTACCTCACGCGGCTGCCCCATGGTTCGCTGGAACTCGAGCCTGGGCTCGTGAGGTAGGTGAACAACGATTAGTCTAGAGGGACACCAGTGCACGAAATAGCAAATAGTTTAAACTCTCAACCTCCACCGACAGAACAACTATGGTGGAGATTGATCTTAGTAACGCTCGAGGAAAAGCGTACGCGAGGTCGAGGCTGTGGGACCTGCGGATTTCGCTTTGGTTAAGGTCAGCAGATGAGCGATAACTTAAGACGACCCAGTCTCGTGTTTGTGAGTCGTGTTTCTGCGCAAATACACGCAGTGGGTGTGCTTATGTGCCATGTCAAAGTGATTAACAAAGATGAACGGCCTGTGTGTGCGCTCCGCGCCATAATGAGGTTGGCTCAAGTGCGTGTGGATGCTGCAATTACACTGTGTCCGGGTTGAGTCATCGTGACTTCACGGTTTGCGCCTCCGACTAGGCAACAGTTCTTCTATGGCGGCATGTGTTGATGTGCCTCACGGATTGATTTTCCGCTGGCTACTGACAACGGAGCGATGGACGTTTTGACGATAATGGCGCGGGTGATGTCTTGGAGGACGATGGGCATCCTTGGCGGGCATCGTACATATATATCCTGGTAAACGCTGACAGTCAAACCATGATCGTGGCGTCTGGGTTTACCGTAACAGTTTTGCCTATTTTGATTGCTATCGGCGCTTGTGCTGCGATGTCTTCTGTATGTAGTAGACCTACAGCATGTTGGTAGCCCCACAGGGCGGGGCTGTTGTTCTGACATTTATCGGGAGGTGTCCCGTGGCGTTATCCTTACAAATGTTAACAGCGATTTTCTGTACTGTTATGCGACCAGCACGAGCAATGACATTTCGTCCTCTGCGCATTGGGTCTTTTCGTGGAGGGATACTGCCGCCTTACCAGTGGAGGTGGCACAAAGTCAATTTCGTGTTACGTTTCTAGGGTTTTATACTGATATTGTCATGCCACGAAATGGAAAACCTTTGAGGATGAGGTAGTCATGTATGACGAAGATATTTGTCGGAACAGTGGCACTGAGCTTCAGACACACAGCTCAATTCAACTTAAATAATTGTACCGGGTGATCCAATACCAAAATCGGCTACTGTTTAAAAGGTGGGTAATTATGCCTTAGGAGATTGTGTGATGTGCTCTGGCTAGGATCTATTGAAAGTTTCGCGCTCCGAGTCGTAAATATTTGCTTGTGCTACGTTTGTGCATGTAAGTAGCTTTTGGGCCAATATACTTCCTCCACTAACCTTACGTCGCCTCTGTGGTAAGAAGGACACCACAGACTGAGTTTGTATGCGTTACAGCTGGATAGATCGCCTGTCGTTCTAACAGACGCTAATATGCAGACACAAGGCAAAAGACAAGTTCCGAAATGCAGAAATGCGATCACTGGAAGACGAATTATGTTTGCCAGACATTGCGGATTTATCCAAGTGGATAAAGACGACAGAGAATGATATTGGGCTCCTAACGGATGCGTTCGCCATGTAATCCCAACTGG